TGGAGTACTGTCACCCCATCTGGTCCCCGAGATATGCTAGGGACTGTCAGATGGTTGAAAATGTTCAAAGGAGGGCCACCAGACTGGTGCCTGCACTTCGGCACCTCAGCTAGAGGCCGGCTCATCCACGCCCTCGCCGTTCTGCCTCACATGTGGCATGCAACCCTGCAGACAACAAGTCTCCTACACCGCCTGGAGGGAAGGGGGAGTATTGTAGTGGATTCCTCCCCTACAAACGCTTGTCGCTGAGTAGCCGACCCCGCGAATTCCCCAGTGTATGCCTCGAGGTCTAGGTCAACCAGCGCCGCCTTACATGACGGAGGTCAACTATTAAGCCACGCCTACCTCCGCTATATAAGACCTGACCTCGTGGTGACCTACCTTTCTCTTTCTACCTACAGCCAGTCTTCAAGCAACACCTACTCCTCTACTCCTGCTTAGCGGTCCTCGCTCCCGCCGGCGAGCATGGCGACCCACAAGCTGTCCTCCTCTGAGCATCCTCACCAACCAGCTCTCTCTACATCACGCTTGTAACCACGCTGCCTTCCCAGCACCAAGCTTCACTGTACATCCAATACAACATGTATACAGAGAGCACATTGTGAGTTTCCTTTCTCCATCCCATCCTGAGTGTGAACCAAACATCCCATACCCCACAGGTGTGTATATATATATATATATATATATATATATATATATATATATATATATATATATATATATATATATATATATATATATATATATATATATATATATATATATATATATATATGTGTGTGTGTGTGTGTGTGTGTGTGTGTTTCTAATTAAAATCCAAAGCTATTATAATAGTCCTGTGTGTGGGTTACAGGGCCAGCGGGTTGAGGCCGCCACCCTCACCCACCCGCCTCAGTGTAAACAAGACCTGTTGTGGAGGCGGCCCAGGACACCACACAGCTCCATGTTAATATCCATGCCAGTAGATATAAACAACCTTGCAGATGGCTGGCTTGAACTCGAAAGTGATCCAGGTATATATAGTTACAGTGTTGTGTTGAAGAATGACATAGAGTATGACAACACTGGCCAGGTGTAGGCTCACACCATCAGTGTATACATCATCATAGTTACTCTGCAGGCTTAAAATGGCCTGTTTTTATATTTTCGGTAAAGGTGTAGTTTAGGGCTAACACCCGAAGGGGTTTGTAGAAATCGTTTACATTTTTGTACACACTAATAACATGTTAATAAACACAAATGGAAACGACAATACAAAGAACCTGACCTAACATACCCATAGGTTGGGTATGTTAGGTCAGGTTTTATTATGTTAATTAATGTGTTAAACAACTTAACTTAATATTAAGGTTGATATACATCACCAGTGGTGAGAGGAATATGTGGAAGCGTTCACCATCATTTATGGGAAACGTTTCTTGAAGAGGGATTCAGGGAAATAAACAAAAAAAATGGCGCCGGGAGGAGAATAGTGAAGTGGGATAGAGTAAATAAAAAAATAAAATACTTAAAATTATACCAGAAATTTGTCATTTCTTTTAATATACTTAAAATCATCAAAATAATAAGTATGCCAAAAATAAAGACAATCAACAAACTCCTTCTGGTGCTAACCCTAAACTACACCTTTACCATATTTTCATTTAATTGCTTAAATAAATACAAAGAAGGGTATGTTTTATATAATATAGAACTCCTGTATGACATCTCGCATGTGTTAAAAATTGGTTATTTCTAAATTAAACGTAACTTAACCTTAGTGGGTATGAAAAACAGACCTAGCCAAACAAACCTAACATATTTATTTCAGAATTTGGGGGGATGATAGCGTCCTGAAATGTAATTGGTGGGAGATCGTCTACTTTACAAAGTGTAATTGGTAAATATTGAGTTTTGTTACTATTGAACTTAACCAAGTTTGTATCTCCCCATTCAGAGATGCTGCACAGATCCGCGTTGATAGAAGTAATGATATCAGTTCTAGAAACAGATCTAGTTTGAGAGTTAGGAGGAAGGGGAAAATGTGAGGAAGAGTGAAGAGTAGCAGTTTATTGAGGAATCTAGAAGAAAATACAGTCCAGCCCACACCTGAATGGAAATGAAATGCTAACACATATACTGTACTGTTTACAGGGTTGTTCACGCTGCTGCTGGAGGACATGGGAGTGCGGGGAGTTCAGGTTGAGGAGATATACGACCTCCAGAAATCTTTTGAAGGCAAAGTATATGGCTTCATATTTCTCTTCAGGTAAAGTAATGTTAAATTGGTTATTTGTTTTAGTAGGTACATAAAGGCAGTTATTTTAGTTACATGGCCCTACCAGTATAGTACAGCATTCATGTAATATTTGCTAGAAATTAAAGACGTGTTTATTCATCATTGCTACAGAAATAAACCTTCCATTTTTTCTCCAGAGTAAATTTAGAGCCATTGCCTACAGGAGAGAGAGAGAGAGAGAGAGAGATTGATTTTTTTCTTTGGCTGACATGAGGCTGTTTGTCCTGTGTCTGTCCTTCTCATTGTAAACACAAGATAATGACAAATAATTTTAAAATCCATTACAGTACTTTACACAATTTGTATTTGTACCCCATTAATATTAATAAGTAAACGCCTGGGCCAAAATACTGTACTGTACCGTATCTGCCCTAACTCATCCTGTCTATGATGCCAGGCCCATGTGATACACACCCCAGGTTGATTCAATAATTCCATATTTCATTACAGTATTAGGAAAGTCTTTTGTGAGGATAAGTCTCATTACCAGGGCACAATTTTTATATTGAATATGTCAAAAATACTCATTCACATCAGCATTATGAACAATCATATAGTATTCATCTGGATTCCCAGTTAAGAGTCATCCAGCAACAATGTCATATATTTCTTAATACAGAGCGTCCTCGCTTAACGTCGGGGTTACATTCCTAAAACCACGACATAATGGGAAAAAATGTTAAGCGGATAAATTTCCCCATAAGAAATAGATAAAATACAGGAGTTATGTCCCCAGCCTCCCTTTGACCCATGAAATACATTACATATACAGAAAGTCATTGCCCTTTCTATAGAAAATAGTTTATAAAACTACAGTACGAAGTTTGTACAGGGGTATTGGTACTCTCCAATGGGCGGAGGTGGTTAACATCCATTCTCATGCTTTTCCTGAATTGGTTAGCCACATTACCAGCAGTCTCTCACTTTCTTTCTCTAAGGAATTTGAAATGAATTGGCATTATGTCATTATTATTTCAGTTTGGCAGAAGACATAAGGAGGATGAAAGAATTATACAGTACTGTAATTAATTTCAGATGGATAGAAGAGAGAAGATCCAGAAGAAAAGTCGTAGAGAATCCAGACAATTATGTTCAAGATGAAAATGTTGTCAACAATATGTTTTTTGCCCAACAAGTAAGTGAATTTTAGGAAAGACTAGACTATATTTAAAGTGAGCCCTTACGTGACAGCTAAAGATCTCTTACTGCACCTCCGTGTGGGCACAAATAAAACACAAGCACCATTAATGATGATGGCTGCCATTGAATGGTTAAAAGAACTGCTGAACCTGGAACTTTTTGTGAGACTTTATCAGTGATTCTGTGTTAGTAGAGTCCTCTATATACTGTATGTGAGCACCCTATAGTAATCACCTCTATCAGTCTCTTGACAATTCCTTATGACCATCACATCTTGTTATGATCCAATTTATTTACAAAGAATTTAATATTTGCATTATCTTTCTTGGGTGATGCAGTCAGGCTTTGCATAGTTTTATATGTTACTGCACTGGATGTTTTACCTGTGTTTTGGCATCACATACTGTACAGTACAGTATATCTGCATAGGCACCCCTCATTTATGTAAGGGTTCCATTCCTGAAAAACCTTTACTAATTGGATCACGTGTTCCTGTAGACTCCCATTGGTATACTGTAGAAGCTGACCTAATTTCTGTGAAAGAAAAAAATCTTCCAAAATGGCTTAAAATTCTACATATATTGTACTTTTAATTTTATAATGATGCACCAACAGTAAGTCTACTGCATTGTACGTACATTAGAGTTCAATACTATACTGTACTGTATAAATAATTTGAGATGTTTGGCTTTAACTGGTTTTATTTTTACTAAGGTTTTTATCTAAAGAAGAATGACAAAACTTATCTATTTAAAATATCTTAAGTCACTGTCTTTGCACTGCTTCAGAAAACAAATCAGTGAACAATGATAACTAAAGCATTGCATATATGTACCTGTACAGTACAGTACAGGTACTACAGTACTTTATTTTTAGCTTACAGTAGTTAAGCATTCTTATTACAGTACCGTATGTTGTTGTAGTAAAATTTTTCTTTATAAACTGACCAACTCCAGTACAGGAAGCCCTGAGATGCCTGTGTCAGCACCTCAGTTGTTATATTGTGAAAAGGTTACAAAAAGACAAAAACTAAAAAATTTAATTTTTTTGGTTCCGTCAAATTTTTGTAAACGGAATCTTCATAAATTGGAAACTGTCTGTATGTAATGGGACCTTAAATAGCTAAATCATCTTTTTCTCTTTGGGTATGTGGATGTTGTCAACTTAATTACTACTGTAGTCTCTCATTGTCTGTAGCTTGGTATAGTTTGTTAAGAATAGTCCTGTAGTGTCCAACAAATAATGTTACTGTATATTATCATTCAGTATCTTTGACAAAATGTTGAGAAACTTTAGGCCTCAGTACAGGGACTGTATTTTAAATCTTTACGATACAGTAGTATGTCCATGATCTTTCTTGGTACTCGGGTGCATCAGTGCTCACAACATAATGAAATAAACCCATTTGTATCTAATCTTTCATAAGTAAAATACAATAAAGGGATATCCAGACTGGTGTTAAATACTTCATTATTCTTTACTTTGATCAATAAGTTGATGCTCTATGTTAAATTACATGACCTTACATATAAATCCCTGGATGGTGTCCTAAACAACATTGTTTTTTGTGGTTACAGTTTGTATTAGTGTGTGTTTACAGTATAATATTCATAATGTTTTGTATGATAACTTAAGTGATATTGTACTGTACTGACAGATGGTGCCCAACAGCTGTGCTACACATTCTCTGGTGTCTGTTCTTCTCAATTGCTCAACACTGGATCTAGGGCCGACCCTTTCCCGCCTCAAAATACACACAATTGGAATGAACCCAGAGAATAAGGTACATTACTGTACTGGTATTTTTATTACAAAACATTTCAAAGCATTAATGGTAGTTTGTAATAAAAAACACTAATTTAAGATTCCCAGTCATTGTAGCTAAAGTAAGTATTCTTTAGGTTTGAATTTGGGTTAGACAATGTTAGATGGTTTTATTTTGTCACATTCCCAACAATTTTTCCAGATGATCATACAACTATATGGCTGTATTGAAAGTGATTACAATTGAGGCAGTTTTAACAGTGTTGAGTTTTTGATGCGTTTGTCATGATTTCATATCAAACTAAAGGAGACAATTGTTCATGTTTCTCTGCTACATGGGATGCCAGATTCAGGGTGGGAGTCCTTACAGATAGAAAGTTTTAATAATGTAATTTTAAAACTACCTTACAAGAACTTGTCTTGTATAGTTTTAGTCTAAGATGCCAAATTAATGCCATTGGCCTGCTGACAATTGTTGTCCATTGGCTTTTTAGATTATAGATAAATATTCAGTTAATTTCCACACAACTCTCACACCCAGAGATCAATGTCAGTAAGTGGTAGTGACTGATATGGTGTTGTTGTGTTCTCTTTCTTTATTATTATTATACATTTAAGGATTCATCACTGACCATGCTATTAACACTTGTGTATGTAAAATTCCCAAGCCTCTGTTTCTAGTACAGTGAACCCTCGTAGATCTGGACCCGGTAAATCCGGATTTCGGAAGATTCAGACAAAAAAATTGGGGGGTTCTGGGCTCAGAAGCCTCCCTAAGAAGCATTCCCAAAACAGAACAAAGAACATTTTAGGCCCGTGGGCACTGGTTGAGCGTCGTCCGCTCTTGTAACTCTCCTCCCTCCCTGTCGCATTTCACTGGATTTATTGTTATTATTGGTGTTTGCTGATATAATAGTGATTAAAAGTGATTAATCATGGCATTGTAGCCAGGTTAGGCTCATCATTATAACCGCCAGGCTACTGGGTCAAGCTGTGTGGTGTTATAGTACAGTAGTAGTTGTTTTTCAACTCGTAATTTTGAGTAGATATACAAACTTTTTTCATTTATTTTTACTCAGTTACATGCACACACCATCCTACACACATATTGTAAAAAAAAAAGTAAAATAAATAATTGTCCTAAGGGCTAACCCATAATGGGAGGAGAGGCCAGTGTAGTGGGTGGGGAGCACTGCGTCCCAGCTGGTCTTCGTTACTACTGAGAGCCAGGGACTATATGCAAATGGTGACTGTGTTAAACTTTCATTTGGCTGTTACTTACTGGATTGGCAATACAGTATTTTTTGTTGTAACTTATTTATTGGTATTATTTTTATTTATTCCTCACATTTACTGGTATTGTGTGTATTATTTTAAGAAAACTATGGCTACAGGAGGAAAATACACACAAAAGTTTTTTCCAAAATATTCACTGCTAAAATGGGGTGTGTGTCTTATATGCCAAAAAATGCTGTATGTATTTTTGGTGTTTTTTATATAATTATGTATCATTTTATGCATTTTGTACATTTACTGGGAGATCCAGACAGGTGGTTCCCCCTTTTAGTCCGGATCTTCGAGGGTTCACTCTATTATTGTAAGAGTTTAGCTCATTAAGGTGGCTGATATGTTGTAAAAGTTTCCTCATGAGTTCCAAGTACAGAAATTCATAAACTGGTCATTGTAATGAGAGAGAAGGTTAGTAGAGGTCTTATCACAAGGAACACAGCATCAAAAGCATGGAAGGACTGTTCATTAAATTGAGACGTATTGAATTTTTAGGAGTTACTATTTCCCTGTTTATTATTGAGTGATCCTCTCCTTACCAGGTTGTGTCTTATTAACACATCTTCTCACTACTCACCTGACTTAATGAGATGGGGGGGGGGGTCTTTTTAACGCTTGTATTAGACAAAAATCATCTTTCATTTCATAATTTCTGATTTTCCTCCATTATTTTCCCACAATGAATGATTTATGTTCTACAGGGTTGGGCGATTGGTAATACACCAGAGCTGGCAAACGCACACAACTCGCACGCAGCTCCTCAGGCTCGCCGGCGACCAGACAAAACTCCGGGAGTGCCCACCAGCAGTCGAATGTCTAATGCAGAAACTTTTCATTTTGTATCTTATGTTCCTGTTAGTGGCCGACTCTTTGAACTAGATGGCCTCAAGCCTTTTCCAATTGATCACGGTAAAAGGTTTATTTTCATTTACATTCATATAGATATAGTGTACAGTACAGTAGTCATCATGTTAGAATAATCTTCATAACTCACCTCATCGACCACTTTATGTATTCCCACTTAATCTTAACTAAGTCATTCTTATTTGTCATCTTTCCTGCTCTGCTCTCTCCTTATTTTAAACTATTTTTTATCAGTATCATCTGTTGTTAGAATTCATCAGCTTTCATGCTGTATCAGTTTGTTTAATATTATAGTTGTCTCAAAAGTTTGGTCCAAGTTGTTTCTTAGTGTTTTATGTATGCTGTTTAACTCCTTTGTTTTTTATTGCTCTTCAGTGAACATCAGTGTTGAATTATCTTGATCTAAGAATTACCCTTTTTGCTTTGATTAATCATATAATATTATCATATCCAGGATTTCTTTGTACTAGTTTCATTAGCTTCATATCTTACGCTGTGTAGTTATTGAATGATTTTGGGGAGATGTGTGGATAAGGTGTTTAATACCAATTAGATATACAGTACAGGGTTTTTCACTTTGCCATGATATAAATTTTATGTAAAAATATTTATGGTAAAATTTTTTGAAAAAAAATATTTACCGATGATTTATGTCTTGCTGTAACAGGTATGAAAATAATAATATGTTAAAGTAATTAGAAGAAATGAATGTTAGTAAATGATGGGAGAGAGTGCATGAACAGGCTTGAGAAACAGGGGAGTTGGAAGCCTTTGTCCACATTCCCAGCAGGAGGGGTTGGAGTTTGGGACCCAGCTCTTGGTACTGTAGTATTATACCATGTGAAGATATTTAAAAACTGTTGACAGAGGAAGTCTTAGACAGTGCCGAGTATGACAAGATACTTGTACTTGTGTCTCCCAGGTTGAGTAGAATGTAAATAGGAGGGAAGATGAATGTAAGTGAACAGCATTTAAGGATTGTGATGTAGATCTTTGAGGAATATGTGAGGCAATGACGAAAAAGTATGAATAACCCATTTCTAATTGAGACGTGGGAAAGATACTTGAAGGTATTCTAAGGCAAATGCTGTCAATTTGGATAAAAAATTTAGCATTTCATTAGTTTGTTGAAGGAATGTTAAAGATAAGAAAGTTTTTCACTACATGGTTATCCAATAGGTCCGTGGTCAGAGGGAGAAGACTGGACAGAAAAGTTTCGTCGTGTCATAACTGAGAGGCTCGGTATAGCAACAGGGGGAGAACCATATCACGACATTCGGTTTAATTTAATGGCCGTAGTACCTGATAAAATAACAGCCTACAGAAGAAAACTTGTGGCATTAAGAAGAAACAGGTATGTATGTATAAAATTAACTTTGTATATGTAACAATAGTTAATGAATATGTACTGTATGTCTGCATTTAATCTTTCTATAAATACTGAGTTGTTTTAATTTAGACTATTTTCCCTTGATCTATGTTTCAAAACTTGCTCTCATCAGTGAACCATAGATAAGAAAGCTATGACCCCTGAAAAATGGTGAAAGAGCACAACTAACCAGACACTAATTATAACAATAATACAGCTGCACAAATAATATTTCTCGGTGCAGAGAGACAGAGTCATTCATATATTCAGTTGTATATATAAAGAGATCTTGGATTCCTTCATCCTGGGGCTGAGGGTAATAAATCTTTCCAGTGAATTATGAAAGACATACAATATTGACTTATATTTCAGAGAAACAATTTTGGAGGCTCTTCATCAGTTTGTTAGACAAAAATACCCGCAGTACATAGGAAAAGAGAAGCCGGCACCCATCAACACATCACGACCGGAAGATGATATTGGTAAGAGAGGAATGTATGGAATCTAACACAACATTGCCATTCCTTTAGTCACTTTTCATAAACATTTTTCTCCATTTATAGTAAGTAGAATTTATAAAACTTTCTTATGACATTATTGCCTCCATATATCTTTTCATATTGAAGTACAGTTTTGAGACCCAGTTGCAGAAATGTTTGTTGTATGTTATGGTGATTCATCTGTATCTGAGATGTCACACAAATCATCTGCCTCTATTGTACTGATCTCCTCCATCTTCATGGTGTGGCTTGTAATCACAAGCCAAGGTGTTTGGCCTGAATTCTTTCCAAAACTCACCCTCTGGCATAGAATTGGGGGTGGCTTATGTTTGTTAAAATACAGTATTCATGAATTGGTGAATTTATCCACGTCCTAATTCACAGCTCATCAACTTACAGTACAGGGGGCCCCCAACTTAGGAATAGGTTCCGTTCCTGAGGATGTTCATAAGTCGGGGATCCCCTGTATTAATGAATTAGCCAGCTCATCACCCTGCTCCCACAACACTACCCACCCACTATACCACCTCTCCACCATTAATGAATTAGCCAGCTCATCACCCTGCTCCCACAACACTACCCACCCACTATACCACCTCTCCACCATTAATGAATTAGCCAGCTCATCACCCTGCTCCCACAACACTACCCACCCACTCTACCACCTCTCCACCATTAATGAATTAGCCAGCTCATCACCCTGCTCCCACAACACTACCCACCCACTCTACCACCTCTCCACCATTAATGAATTAGCCAGCTCATCACCCTGCTCCCACAACACTACCCACCCACTATACCACCTCTCCACCATTAATGAATTAGCCAGCTCATCACCCTGCTCCCACAACACTACCCATCCACTATACCACCTCTCCACCATTAATGAATTAGCCAGCTCATCACCCTGCTCCCACAACACTACCCACCCACTCTACCACCTCTCCACCATTAATGAATTAGCCAGCTCATCACCCTGCTCCCACAACACTACCCACCCACTCTACCACCTCTCCACCATTAATGAATTAGCCAGCTCATCACCCTGCTCCCACAACACTACCCACCCACTATACCACCTCTCCACCAACTTGGATGCACTCTGTGTTTCCTTCTCACTGAAGTTCTCAAACCACAAATACATCGTGGCTCACCTTGGCTTGCTGTCATGAAGTTTGGAATTCCTTTGCTTATTTCTCTCCCTTAATCATACCCTCTAAGTGTAAAATGCCTGGTGGGGAAGGTGTGTGTGATGGAAAGAGGCAAAACAGGTGATGAATTTGAATGAAAAAATTAATGTAGTTGGAAAGGCTGGCTACAGGTGTGAGTAAGTCTCCAGTGGACAGGCATTTTGTTGTGTAAAAGTCCATTATCTAGAAGAGTGTCATGGCAACTGTTTCCATAACTGGCAAAGTTATTACAGTCTTCCAGAACTTTTCTGTCTAAAAAGGAAAGGTCATCTCCTAGCTTCAAGGAAACTAAGGACAATTTATTCCTTCTTTTCTGTGCCAATGCCAAAGGAGACTGTGTGGTCAAGCACATGCTTACTTGCTTCCCTACAGAACACTGTACAGGTACCATTATTCACCAACCTTGCATCTTTCTATCACTCTTCCTCTCACCTCTCTTACTATGATACTGTACAGTACTGGAGTTTAAAGTCATAATATTTGGATAATTCAGTTTCTCATTCATATATATATATATATATATATATATATATATATATATATATATATATATATATATATATATATATATATATATATATATATATATATATATATATATATCTATATCTATATCTATATCTATATCTATATCTATATCTATATCTATATATATATATATATATATATATATAGTAGAATTTCGCTAATCTATGGTCAATTGAACCCACAGGGCACCGCGTTATGAACAACAGAACATATGGGATTAATTCCAATAGAGACGGCCCTAATTCCCCAACTCCACTTTTTGACTATATAACAACTATGTTGTAGTATTTATCTTAACTATGATGGTATGCACACACAATTAATAATTAAGAGAAATATCAATAATATTAGGTTTTTAACACTTGCATTAGTAGAAAAGATGGCTGAGCACACGGGATGGGGTTGGTTCCAGGCAGAGGGCAGATTATTGGCCTCACCTGTATCACTTGTATCAATTGTATCACTATCCACCACAGAGGCTTGCAGGGCTTCTTTGTCAAACCCTCAAAGTCCATATAAGTCCATATCCTCACTATAATTATCACTATCACTGACTGGGCCGCTGTGGGTGGCGCGGTGAAGAACTCGTAATGTTTTGATGATCAGCAACCTTGTGCGCATCGTTCATACGCTTCCCGCCAGATATGATGAAAAATTCCGCTATGAAAGTTCATTTCTGGCGAGGCAACCCAGATATGATAAAACGCGTTATGAAACCGTTAGCGGGTAATAATATATATATATATATATATATATATATATATATATATATATATATATATATATATATATATATATATATATATATATATATATATATATATATATATATATATATATATATATATATATATATATATATATATATATATATATATATATATATATATATATATATATATATATATATATATATATATATATATATATATATATATATATATAATAACATAAAATTCCCACTTAACGCGTCATAGAACTGAGGTCCTGCTTTTAAGTGAAATCTGGTTATGAACAACAGAACATATGGGATTAATTCAATAGAAACTGCCCGAATTTCTAAACTCCACTTTTTGAAGACACATAACTATGTTGTAGTAAAATAACATCTTAATTTATGATGGTACATGCACACAATTACTTAAGAGAAAAGAGAAATACAGTCGCTAAGTTAATGTCCATTCAAATAATGGACTCAACTCCTCCCCCTCTCACACTACACTGCCGGCTCTTCCCTCTCTGAGAAATTTTTGGGGAAACCACTAAATTTTAATAAATAATACCTCAAACTAAAGTTAGATAATATAAATTGACATTGCTGATTCTTGAAGAATATTTTGAATATAAATGTCATATATTTTACAAAAGATAAACATAGTTACCTAGAGAAAAAATTTTTATCTAAAATTTGTATGTTTAATGCAAAATATATGATGTTTATATTCAAAATGATCACCAAATTATAAGAATTCCAGCAATGTAAATTATATTCTGACCGGTAATTTGTATGAATTTTATGAGCTAAAACAAATATCTTCAGTTAATAAAAAAAATAATCTTCAGGACACTATCTGTCAATCAAAGAATCCCACCTTGCCTCCTCTTCCAACTGCGCGTCAGTCCCAACCTCCCCCCACCCCCCACCAATCCTCCCCTTCAAGAGTTTTTAACATTTAGTATTAAATAATACTCAGATTAAAGTTAGATATAATTGACATTGCTGGATTCCTTTAAGACTATGAATATTTTGAAAATGTCATATATTTTGCACAAAAGATAAATATAGTTACTCTGAGAAAAATTTTATCTAAAATTTGTATGTCTAATGCAAAATATATGATGTTTATATTCAAAATGATATCATCAAATTATAAGAATTCCAGCAATGTAAATTATATTCAGACCGGTAATTTGTATGAATTTATGAGCTAAAACAAATATCTTCAGTTAATAAAAAAAAAAATATTCTTCACGGGTACGATGGTCGGTCGGTCCCTCCTCCCTACCCCCACCAACCGGCCCCAAGGAGATGTGTGGAAAACCAGAATACTTACCTTTTGTAATAAATAATACCTCAAACAAGTTAGATAATATAATTGACATTGCTGATTCCTTGTAAGACCAGGGAATATTTTGAATATAAATGTCATATATTTTGCACAAAAGATAACATAGTTACTCTGAGAAAATTTTTATCTAAAGTTGTATGTCTAATGCAAAATATATGATGTTTATATTCAAAATGATCACCAAATTATAAATTCCAGCAATGTAAATTATATTCTGACCGGCAATTTGTATGAATTTTATGAGCTAAAACAGGCACGTCAGAAAGCAGGGTGGGTCGGCCAATGTAAAAAAATCTACTTTTTGTAATAATAATACCTCAAACAAGAGATAATATAAGACAGCGAGTAAACAGAATTATATAAATTATATTAAAATAAAATACTAAATTATCAAATTTATTCAAAAATATATATTTATATAAATATAAATTATAAAATAGCAATATAAATTATATTCTGACCGCTGGGCGGACACTCACCGTATATGTGGAAAAAATCCGTGTTAAGTGAAAGTTCAGCTCTGGCGAGGCACCACGTATATGATAAAACGTTAAGTGAAACCGTTGAGGTAATACTGGAATAAATATATATATATATATATATATATATATATATATATATATATATATATATATATATATATATATATATATATATATATATATATATATATATACACACACACACACAGTGGTCGCCAGGTTATGACAGTTCGATTAAAAAATTTGGTTACTGAATTAGCTCCCATAAGGATCTTCAATTCGGTTAACGAACAAAACTTCGATTAACGAAATCCTTACAACAAACACGTTTTGTTGTGAGCATCAGCTGATGGGCTACTCTGCCAATACAGTAATCTGTTCCATGTTTACATTCGTTTCCCATGGAGTAAATATCAAGAAAGTTGTGCTCTTGAATATTTTTGCATTTTTTATACCTGTATTAAAATTATTAGTCATTTTAAAATTTAGTTAACATATTGATAATATATGCAGTACAGGGAACTAGTTTTTTGTGCACCCATCAGCCACTTGACTCACCCGCCAAAGCGTCAGTTTAACTTTGTTTACAGTGGAGGAAACATCGTGTTTGTCACTCTCTTGAATACGAAATATTTTACGTTTTTATGTTACAATTATTGGTCATTCTGAAATTTAGTTAACATAATGATAATATATAGCACAGTGCAGCGTTGATTTAAAGAAAATAATCTTTAATTACACCTAGTGAACTTAAAATTTTATTGGTGAAATTACTGCATCAAGCATGGGTCCCCTGAAAGGTGATTTCTCCTCCACCCCCACTTCCTTCTCTTCTCTCCTTCTCTTCCACCCTCACTTCCTTCTCTTCTTCCTTCTCCACCCCACTTCCTTCTCTTCTCCCTTCTCCTCCACCCCACTTCCTTCTCTTCTCCCTTCTCCTCCACCACACTTCCTTCTCTTCTCCCTTCTCCTCCACCACACTTCCTTCTCTTCTCCCTTCTCCTCCTCCCCCACTTCTAATTCCCATCATCATCATCAACCACAGGAGCCTTCTACACATACACACCTCAAAGTAAGTGTACTTTTACTGCATTTGTGTTTATACTTTGTATGTACTTTTCTGTGAGCTGGAACCAATTACCCAATATCATTGAAACAATGGATTAGGTTTAATGAATAGGAGCAGGATAGAACTCGTAGCAACTGATATAAGTTAGATAAGTTTAGGTTTAGGAGGAGATAGGAAGGAACAGTTCTAAATAGGGTGGTGGATGAGTGGAACAAGCTTAGCAACTTTGTAGTAAGTGCTGGAATGCTGGAAAGTCTTAAAGGAGGCTAGATAGATTCATGGATGATAGAGAGTGGTAAACTCTCGACAGAGCTGCCATGCACAGGCCAACCAGCCTATTGCAGACTCCTTATTTTCTTATGTTTAAAAAAAAAAAAAAAAAATTGCCCCACAAAAACTCGGTTTTAGAGCTTTTCGGAATTTCGGATAAAGGGTTGTCAACCTGTAATAACCAAATATAATAATTGCTGTCACTGCAGAATATTCAGCCTATGTATTTTTAAACATGATTACCATTGTTGCATTAGGCTTTTGTACATTTCCTTTCTCCAGAAGAAGGAACAACCTGTCACTCTTGGCTGTTGCATCCCAAAGCTGGAGGCTCAGGTTATCTGATACACCCATTAGTGAATCTCATGAGCTTACCCTGTGTCTGGGCTACACCACACTCCCATCAGAGGGAGCACACCACTCTTGGTCAGAGTCAAATTCTTTGTTGTCCCTCAACTTTATTGACTTTGATTTGTATTGAAGAGTTGTGTATAATAAACTTATTATCTTTTCCCATTTTACTACAAGCTGGCTCATTTTAGAATACAGCATTTCCTTTCACTAACTGTTAGTGCTGTCTCATTCCTACTTGGTACCATGCTTTCTTGTTACTGTACTCTTACATGTCCATTTCCTTTACTTCTGATCATACTTTCCTTCTCTTTTCTTGGCCTTCCCTTCTCCTTCCTTGAACTATAAATTCTTTATACCAATCTTTCACTTTCCATATTCTCAACATATTGTTTCCCTTAAGATAACCCAGGTCAGCAGAGTGTAAGTACTGGTTAATGGCAGCAGATAGTAACAAAACAGCACATCACAACAGGTGCCATGAGTGAATCTTTATTTATTTTTCATTAACTCACAAATCAGGTTCAACAAAGCCTTTTTATGCATGGATATATGATATGTGTTAAATAAATAGAGTTACTCACCTGATAAGGTAGAGAAATTCTCTGTAAGTCTACCCAAAGTAGTGATGGCAGTATGCAGATTTAGAATTCTCCCAATTTGAAATGACACAATTAAAAATGGTAATTTATGATTTTTTTTTAACAAAATATGC